TTTACCTTCATTATTGCAGGAGCTCAATTTTAATAATGAAAAATTATACCATATTCAAGATAATAATTATCGAGAACCAGCTCCAAAGATATCCAATTCAGATGAAGATGAGACTTTGGATGACTCTATGGAAATTGATTTTGTTTGTCAGAAAGAACCCGATACAGGTATTGCGACTATACCATGCAAAATTAAGTGTTTAAAAATCTCAGCAATGATACTTGATAGTGGGGCTGAAACTGAGATCGTAACAGAAGATATATATTGTTAAGCGTATAAATGGAAAAATTGATAAATCTGTGAAGTATGACCTTAGTAGTATTGCTACTGTTCCAATTGAGTCTATTGGTATCATTCGTAATTTACCAATAACACTAACTCCTGATTGTACTATATATGAGAATTTTGTAGTCGTGAAACATTCCAAGCCAATGTTAATATTTTCAAACCGACTTCTCAAGAAATATAAATGTGTTATTGATTGAAATAATGATAAAATGAAGATTCATCATAATGGAAAGGATCATATTTTTCCTGTAACTATGTATAAGGTGAAGAATAAGCTCGAAGTAAATTACGCTACTGTGACTCAAGATGGCTCACATAACGAGGATACTATTACATCTAAGCCTTTGGTATCTGATCAAATTTCACAGGAAGTAGATAGTGATAAGGATGACAGTATACCATTTGATGAGTGGTGTGCTCCTGCAGATTTTAGCTTAGATTCTGTCAATTTAACTTTAGTAAAGCAAGCACCAAAAGTGCTAAAAAAAAATGCATGAGTTATGAGGAGTTAGAAAAATCGCTATATACTACTCTCAAGTCTAAAGCTGAAATAAATGATCTTTGTGAAAAGTTGCAAATGCGTTATGAAAAGCTACTTGAACATATCTCTACCAGAGATAATATTATAGATTAAGTAGTAGCTAATAGGCGAGTCATATTTGCTTTATTTTTCTCATCTCTTCTGGCTTCTTTTTTATATAATACACTCAGATCCTCACTACTTATTTTTTCTGTAGAGTTATTAGTAGGTATTAAATCAGATATGTAAGAGCAGAGCTCATTATTATATAATACAGTTTTAGACCGAGATTTGTAACTTCTCTTTTTTATTTCTGTATTGAGAGGAGTAGTAGATTCTGGATATAAAGTCTCTCTTCTGATTTGGTTAAAATTTTCAAATGAAGTTGATGGGACTAATGTAGAAATGGTACTTTGTATTATTTGTTGCTGGCGTTCTCGATCTTCCCATATATCATCTACTCGATGTTCATTAATATGGAATTCTCTCATAATTCTATATTTAGAAACCTTATCTTTGAGCGATCTAATTGTTTCTATCTGCTCAGAAGTTAGATATATAGATTTTCAGCGATAATATAATTTTAGAAATGGTGTGTTCATGGTTTGATTTTTTATCAAATATTTAGAATGATATTTAATATTTTAGAATAATAAAAAATGATATCTATT